CACTCCTCAGTACCACAGGGGATGGATTCTTGACTTCCCATTCCCATGTTCCCTGGTGTTTTGGCAAGCCCTGACTCTCCTTTCTCACACTTGCCCAATGACTAATGCCACTCCAACCCATAGCACATCTACTCATCCCCAAGAGCTACCAATGTCGTCATCCTCCTGCACAGTCACAGGAAAGGTTAAGTACGGGTGCACATATCCTATGCCATCTTGGGAGGGGGTTTGGCCACATGGCATCTCAGGAATAAGAATGTCATAGAACATTTGGAGGGTGAATGGTGGGAGTGAGCCTTTTGCCCACCTCTATTCCAGGTACTAAGCACATTCTGGCATATAAGTTGCCCTTGGGAATCCTCCCTTTGCAGTTGATTGCTACAGTGGGCCAGTGGGAAGAAAAGATTAACTTACCCTTATCACTACTGGGGCACAGGGCATCAGTCTGGTGGGAGGAGGGTATGGGGCATGTGTGCTTGCATGCTAAATTTAAGATGCAGGCCCTGGGCATCTGTGGGTATCTGCCCTCCCGTATGTATCCCTCATACCTAAGGGAACATGACATTAAATAGTAAATTAAAAAGATCCTTATAGGTTGCCAGAAACCATCAAAGAAAATGAAAAATTTTGTATTTTAATGTCTTCAGTGCCATTTTTCTTTACTTTTGAATGGGGAGGGGGTTCCTGCATTTTCATTTTGCACTGAGCCCCATAAATTACATAGCTATATCTGCCCAGAGTGAGTACTTTTCTTACTGTTGACAGTATTACAAATTTCTCCTATTTTCTCCATTTTTGTCCCCTCCACCCAACCCCCACCCCACCCCAAGTCTTCCCCATACTATTGTCTGTGTTCATGGGTTATTCATATCAGAGTGAGCAGTTTTAAAACATAGCTCACCAATCACTGGGAATTCTGAAACAGAATTTTTCAAATTTATTATGCATAGGAATTTTCCAGAGATCTTAATTTTTCTCTAGTCCCATCCCCTAAATATTCTTATTAAGCCTGGGTGGGCCTTCAAATCTGCATTTTACAAGCATCCTCGATGATTCTACTGCAGTTGGCCCACCAACCACACTTAGAGAAATACTCTATGCTTAGAAGCATAGATTCTGAAGCCAGGCAGGCTAGGGTTTGCATCTTAGCTTCACCACTAACCTTAGGGTAATTGACGTGCGTATCTAAACCTCAGTTAGCTCACTATAAATGAAAATATTAATATCACTCTCAATGTGTTGTATTAAATGTACATAAAACACTTAGCACAATTGATTAGTCCATAGTAAGTTACCAATAAATGTTCTAAAATATTTAAGAAGACTGTTAAGTCTAGGTAGTTGGTACACTGGGGTTTGTTATATTATGTGAGTCCTCCTATATTTTTACAACTTTTCAAAATAAAAAGCAACAACTAGGATGAGAGGGAAAGCTAGAGTATGGAAAGGGGGGTCAGAAGCTTGCAATGAGTCAGCCCCAGGTAGGAGGCTGGTGCTTAAGTGTCAAGAATTTATCAGATGTTCAGTAAGTTGAATTCAGGACAAAAAGAATCTTCACTATAACTGTCCCAAGGACCTTCTCAGACTCACATTGAAAGGAACTATTTCCTTACCCTAGTTTATGAATGGGCTGACACATGGGGCTATGTGTACTTTATTTAGTAAAAGGGCATCTATTCACAAGAGCTAGTCAGTGCCCAGAAAGGGTTTACCAAATGTTGAGTGCCCTCTAGTGTTCCTTCTTAGCTTTCTTCCTTAAGTGGTGGATCAAGGCTCTTGCTTACATTGGAAGTGAAATTCTCCAAGTTGATCTAGTTTCTGAGGTGGTAAAAATATTTATTGTCCTCTCTGATTATGCACTGAATGTGCAGATGAAAGACTGGGGTGCCCACTTATCTAATAATGCTCAGGCTCATAGCAGTGCCCAAACACTTTTATCCACTGTCCCCCTCCCATCCCCCCAAAAAATACAACTTTTAGGACAAATGCAGCTGGCACATCCAGCCAGGAGCAGTCAAATATGGTTAGGAACAATGGAAGGAGTGCATGAATCTTTCTGTTCCTCATTACTTGGATGGCCATAAAAATAGCCATTATGTAGGCCATAAGTCTCATTTCATAATATTCCTGTTTAAAAAGGGCTTGAAAAAAATCTTCTTTAAAAATCAATGTTTTGAGAGAAACCAAGATGGCAGCATAGGTAAACACCTGAACTGCTGCCTCGCACAGCAATTTCAAAACTACAACTAAAAGACAAAACAGACATCATCCAGAACCACAGGAAGGCTGGCTGAGTGGAAATTCTACAACTAGAAGGAAAGAGAAAAGCACACTGAGAATCAGAGGAGCTGTGGGAGTAAAGGCAGAGATACAACATGCACGTGGCGAGGACTGGCAGGCATGTGCACAGAGAGGGCTGGAAACTGAGTACAGAGCTAGCTTTTTCAAGTGGGAGGGAAACAAAAGCTCCTGACTGCTCTGAACTCCAGTTCCGGGCAAGAATCTGCGGACCCAGACTCATAAGGGGAGAAACTGGACTGTCTGGCCGCAGGTGAAACTTGAGGGCGGCTTTCTCTCAGAGGTGCTTGCAGCGATTACTAGTTTACCATGGGACACTGAGACCAAGGGGCCTCTTAGGGCAGGGCTGATGGGAAGCCATAGTTATTTGCTCCGCCCTGAGATCCCGCCCCACAAAGCCATTGATATATGCTCCACCCTGAGACTTCCTCCCATCCAAACTGAGTGCAGAGGCTTTTGCATATGTATGGCCTGACCTGAAATCTAAAACCTAACAAACTGCAGCTGAGTCAGTGAGACCCACAACATCCAAAAGAAGGCCCAAGGCCCCACAGCAGCTTCCATTGCTTCACAGCTGGGCCTTATCTTGGCACATCCAAAACCCAAACAAAGAAGCGGAATCTGCAGATGTCTCCATAGTTCCTGCTAGGTGGCCTCAGGCAGAGGCTAAATTATCACCTCCTTGGAGATCCAAGAGCCAGTGTACCCAGAGGTCAGATTAGGACCATCCAGATTACAACTCCTCAGATCCATAAGGAACACACTCAGAGGGCAGACTCAGTGAGCACCAAAGCCCCTCTGAAGCAAGTCTTATCTCATAGGGGTGTCTCCAGCACAAAAATTCTCACATGGTAGACACAGATGATCCTCACAGCCAATTGGCCGGAAGGTCAAGTCCTCCCAGTGATACCAACAACAATCAAGGCTTCACTACAACAAGACTGTGCACACAGCCCACAAAGGGGTGCACCAAGAGTGTCCATCTCAGATAACTGGGGAGGCTGAACCACTGGGCCCTATAGGGCACCTAGCACACAAGGCCACTCCATCAACTCAGGAAAGCAGCCAAAATGCAGAGACAAAGAAACAGGTCACAATTGAAAGAAATGAAGAAAAGAAAACAACTGGATAAAGAGTTCAAAATCATGGTTATACTGTTTTTCAATAACTTTCTAGAAAAGGCCAATAAATTTAGTGAGACCCTTGAGAATATGAAAAAGGACCAACTAGAAATTAAGCATACATTGACTGAAATAAAGAATAATATACAGAAATCCAACAGTAGACTAGAGGATCCAAGAATCAAGTCAAAGATTTGAAATATAAAGAAGCAAAAAACACTCAACTGGGAAAGAAAAAAGAAAAAAGGATCCAAAAAGTTGAAGATAGTGTAAGAAACCTCTGGGACAACTTCAAGAATACCAACATCCAAATTATGGGGGTGCCAGAAGAAGAGAGAGAGCAAGATACTGAAAACCTATTTGAAGAAATAATGACTGAAAACTTCCCCCACCTGGTGAAAGAAATAGACTTACAAGTCCAGGAAGTGCACAGAACCCTAAACAAAAGGGATCCAAAGAGGACCACACCAAGACACATCATAATTAAAATGATAAGAACAAAAGACAAAGAGAGAATATTAAAAGCAGCAAGAGAAAAACAGTTATCTACAAGAAAGCTCCCATATGACTGTCAACTGATTTCTCAACATAAACTATGCAGGCCAGATGGGAGTGGCAAGAAATATTTAAAATAATAAATAGCAAGAACCTACAACCAAGATTACTCTATCCAGCAAAGCTATCATTCAGAGTTGAAGGTCAGATAAAGAGCTTCACAGATAAGAAAAAGCTAAAGGAGTTCATCACCCAAACCTGTATTATATGAAATGCTGAAAGGTATTCTTTAAACAGAGGAGAAAGAAGAAGAAAAAGGTAAAGATAAAAATTATGAACAACAAATACATATCTATCAACAAGTGAATCTAAAAATCAAGTGAATAAAAAATCTGATGAACAGAATAAACTAGTGAATATAATAGATTCAGGGGAATAGAAAGGGAGTGGACTGACAATTGTCAGGGGTAAAGAGGAAAGAGGGTGTGGGAAGAGACTGCACAAAAATCTTACAACTATGGATGAGGACAGTGGTGGGGGGGTAAGGGCAGAGGGTTGGGTAGAAACCAGGTGTAGAGGAGCTATGGGGGGAAGAAATAGGAACAATTGTAATAATCTAAATAATCTGAACAATATTTTTTTTAAAAAATAATAAAATAAAATAAATGTGTTTTTTTTCTCCTAATAACCTGCAGCAAAAAATATTTCCTCCTGCAGGGACAGGATACTCAACAATAATTACTGATCTAAAGGAGTCAAGTCAGTGCATGTCTCAATGTACAATTATTGCAGAGAATCTAATGCACCTGGAAATGGAATCCGAGGGCCCTAGATCTCCAAAAGAAGCTGTTTCCTCATATTGACCTCATCCAGAGTTACCCTGGGCTCTCGCTGCATGTTCTCCTCAAGACAGTTACAGAAATTGCTTTTTAAATTATGCTCCAGAAATACTAATTCATTTGCAATACTAGGTCTTCCAGCAAGCTCCTAGAAGCCAACTTTTGCCCACTCCTATAAACAGCACACTATTTACTTAGTTTTGAATAAAATATATTTGTAATAAGATTCACAATTTTGTTTCCACAGGTCCTTCTTCATGATAATAATGAAGGATTCTGTGGAGGTTCCATTGTTAATGAAAAATGGGTAGTAACTGCAGCCCACTGTATCAAACCTGGTGTTAAAATTACCGTTATTGCAGGTAAGTAAATAAGGGTATTGCTATACAGCATCACCACATCTTCTGTAAGATTAGTATATCATATTTTATGAAGGCCTAATAGGATAATTGTTAAATAACTTGGGCTACTGGTTGAGGGGCCATGGTTTCAAAACCCAACTTGCTTCACCCTCCAACCTTTCCAGAGTTCTTTGTTATACTTTTATTAGCACTCACTTCTGTGGGGAACAATTATTTATTGATGTTTCCATTTCCCTACCAGACTGAGCCTTCCCAAAAGCTGTGTCATAACACTGATCTTTGTATCTCTAGTGCCTGGTACAACCTGTAGTGGGCCCTCTAACATTTGAATGAATGGCCAAATGAAATCAAAATATTTGAAATCGAGAATGGAGAATGTCTAGAATAAAATCCATGAGAAGTAGGTGCATTATCACATGTGAACAATGTAAGACTTTTAACAGCAAGTGAACAGAACTATCTCTATGACTGGGTCCTGGATCACTTTTTTGATCTGAAAAGTATTCATTGGTCCTCAATGCATTTTATCTAAATCCTACCAATGTAAGATTGAGTTCTTTGGCACTTAGTGCCAGTTAATTCAGTGATGCCAAGTGGACACTGAAAATCTGTTTCTTTATGTGAAAGGCTATTTGTGATTGAAGAAAAATTTGTTTTCAATGGGTGAAATGCCAGTTAAGTAAGTGATGCTAGGTGGACACTTGGAAAACATGTGTCTCTGTGAAAAAGATAGTGACTGAAAAAGAAATGTTTTCAATAGGTGAACATAACACCGAGAAGGAGGAACCTACAGAGCAAAGGCGAAGTGTGATTCGTATTATCCCTCACCACAGCTACAATGCAACTATTAATAAGTACAGCCATGATATTGCCCTTCTGGAACTGGATGAACCTTTAATACTAAACAGCTATGTAACACCTATTTGCATCGCCAACAGGAAATACACAAACATCTTCCTCAAATTTGGGTCTGGCTATGTGAGTGGCTGGGGAAAAGTTTTTAACAGAGGGAGAACAGCCTCAGTTCTTCAGTACCTTAAAGTTCCCCTTGTTGACCGAGCCACATGCCTTCGCTCCACAAAGTTCACCATCTATGATAACATGTTCTGTGCTGGCTTCCATGAGGGAGGTAAAGATTCATGCCAAGGAGATAGTGGGGGACCCCATGTTACTGAAGTGGAAGGTACCAGTTTCTTAACTGGAATTATTAGCTGGGGTGAAGAGTGTGCAGTGAAAGGAAAATATGGAATATATACCAAGGTATCCAGGTATGTCAACTGGATTAAGGAAAAAACAAAGCTCATTTAATGAAAAATGTATCTCCAAGGTTCACATATTTGGGATTAAAAATGAATAAGGTCTTTTATGAACTAACCACTTTCTCCTCTCATCAAGATTTGAACATATACATTCCGTGAATATTGCTTTTTCTCTTTATGGGGAGAAATCTATCTAGAATTGATATTTTGTAGAATAAGTAAATTAGAAAATGTAATCACTTGAGAAATATACTTTGGTAATAATTTGTGACCTTGAAAAATTGTGAAGTTTTTTTTTTTTTCATCCTGATCACCAGGCATTATATTTCTCCACCAGCACCTCCCTGATTCTCCCTTCTTAGCAGCATTCTATGTTCCAGATATTTCTTACTTCTCCCACCAAAACTTCAATATGTATTAGATCATATCTAGGATATTTGGTCTAGTCCATCACAAGTCCAATACCACACTCATAAAGGAAGAACACGGGAACAGCTGACAGGTTAAAATTCACCAGAAACACTACTTTTCTGTACTCTTCTGCATCCTTTATCTTTTACAACTTCTAATCTCTATATCAGTTTATCTCTTTCTCTCTCCTCTTTTCTTTACACATAGAGGAGGTAAGGGAAGCATAATACTGTTTTACTGGTATGCACAATGATACATGTCTATCAAACCCAGACTTGCCTTCAGTTTAGTCTTGGATTTGCTTATCTGAACATAGGGATGAAGTAAGGCCTAAAGAACTTAGGGGGAAAGTTCCTCTCAGAGAGTCATTTTATTAAATACATACATAATGAAAGGGATGACTTATAAGAATAGTTCCCTAAAACTTTGTAATTGTATTGTTATGGAGTTCTGACTAGAGATGGTTCTATGAATTCAAACTGAGATGGTATTGTAACTAAGAAAGCTAAAAATTGTTAGCAGAAAGAGATCGATTTGCAGTCTAAAACTAGTAGAGTCAGCAAGGAAGAATTCATCAGTGTGTCTCCAGTGCTAACCAGGGCTAAAGAAGTTGCCCAGACCTGAGAACTAGAGCATCATGTACCTGTGTATCCCACAGTGAAGGGTAGAAATGTCTCACAGACATGTCATTCCAATGCCAACTGACTACTTTTCTTGTTTCATGCCCACAAAGCAACTTTTTTTTTTTAAATTATAATCAGACCTTCTATATTAAAATTTCTAGAGTTGCTAACCAACCAGCATAAGTACTTCAATCTGTTAGACAGAATATTTCCCTTTTTGAATTAATAAACTGGTGTTTTGGGTTCAGACCTTAGCTTTTTTAATTTGGTTGATGTGAATCAGTCACCCAAGCCAAGCCACACTATTGCTGATTTCTTACAAGTTATTCCTGTTAATACTCTAATTTTTTCAAAATAAATATCAATAAATTTATTTTTTAACTTCTCAAAATGTGTTTGTTATTGAATCATTCACAGAAAAGGATCCCAAACAGTATATTCATCAAAACAACCAGAAGAATATGTACAAAAGCAATAAAACACATCAGAGATTTGATGCTCTGTTAGCACTCAGCTTTTATGAGGTAGTGTGAATCCACCTGGGACAACTGAGTTTAAATAGCTGAGAATATGGTCTTGAATAATTCAACCCACCTTTTTGCTTTAATTTCTCTATTTGTATAATGAAGGAGTTTGACAGATGCTTTCCAAAGGCCCTTTTTGACCTCGAGAATCTGATTATATTCCTTTATTTAAAAATATTCAAGGAGGGATTACTGTGTCCCACACACCAATAGTGTTCATTAAATTTGTGAGTTACATATTTTGTGAGTTAACTAAAATGATGTATGTAAATTACTTTGTCAATGGCTACTACTTTACTACATAGTAGAAGCTCACTAAATGTCAGCTAAATCTGAATCTATGTTTATTCCAGAGTAGGAATGAGTCTTGTATTGGGTGTCATGAAAAGAGGTCATGCTTAACTAATGAGTGGGATTGAGATTTCATGAGAAAATAAAATAAAATAAATCAGTTCTACTGTTGGCTAAAGGAGGGAAAGAGGGAGATGACACTAATTGCCCACCTTAGGCTTAAGGAGGATACTAATTAAAGCATGGAAACTAGTTACTTCAAATTTGAATGACTACAGGTTTGTAGGCCCAGTGCTCTGCAATCCATAAAAGTGAGCCACCCTGGCTTTGTTGCCATGGAAACCACTCATTCCTTTCAAAGGCAGCAGTGGTGGCATAGCATTACACATCTGTGTCTGGTCTACCCTGTGGCAAAAGGTGAGCTCCTGGGCCCCTAACTCTCTAAACCAATTATCCATTTTTCTATGAGCTTGGAAATGACTGAATGATCATGACCCACCTGTAGCATGTTGCCACATTAAACTTATGGGTTCTTTAAGCCCACCAAAGACTCACTACCTAGGACATTTGCAGTCATCTAAGAATCATGAATGCTTTCAAAATCACTGTAGCTACTTCACCTAAATGGGATGAAGCATGCTGCTGCAGTATTGGAAGTTAAAAGAAAAGTGTTTTAATATAGTGCAGTCATTTTAACTGCTGTTTAAATATAACTGCTTTTGGTTCTTTATATTAGTTGCTTAGTGATGGCAGGAACTATGTACAGTCCAATTTTCTCTGCCAAGGAAAAAAGAATGGGTTTTCTCCCCAACATTCCTTAACCATGTCAGACCAGTTCACAAAACTGCTTCATTATAATTTTGCAACAACATTCGAATGCAATCTATCAATATATGATCTACGTATGTCAGAGCTGCAAAGGCCTTTAGACACTATATAAACCACTCTGCCCATTTGACAGATGAGGACATTGAAGCCAAGATAAGGCCAGACCCAAAATAAAGTGGCAGAGCCAAGACTAGAACTCTGGTCTCCCACTCCATACTATGACAGTATAGTGCTTTCAATTGGAGCGCTGTATATTTTTAGAGCAGCTGGGGAATTCTGCATTGGTGGTAATCCCTTCAGCAAACCTGGACTGAAAACTGCCTAGAATTCTCAATAGTGATCATTGACAAACAGGTGACCAAATCAAGAAGACCAACAGATAGCCTGAAAAGCAGAGTGGCAGTCAAATGACTGAAGCTATAGTCTCTGACTCTTAGCAGGAACTCAGTAAATACATGTGGAATGAACCTATGCTGCTGGTGTCTGGCTTTTAACCCATCTGTGAGCTCTGTCATATGTTACATTTGACTTTTAGAGCACGTTTGCCAGTGTCATCTGGCACACAGTCATTCAAGCAACATTTCAACTCACTTCATTGTAACTCTACTGGGTAAGACATATGCAGCACAGAGACAGCAGGCTACTCCAGAAGCTATTGCTTGAGGTTTGAAAGAAAGCTTCAAAACCCACTGGAGCCGAGATTCTGACAATGCAGTGCAGATGTGGGAGACTAGGAAACACATTTCAGTGATTGACAGACCTGTCTGGGCAAAGCACTCAGAATCACTGCTCTTTTTTAATCTGCAGTTTATGCCATTTCCAAATCTCATGATTAAAGCTAAAAAAACAACCATGTTCTGCAAATTATGGAGGCTGCTGATATGAGTCACAGTAGGCAAAAGACTGTGGCATCCTTACCCTTTTCAACCAGTCCAGGTACAAGGCAGACCATTTTCACCCTGTCTTCAGGGTTATGGCTTGCCTTAAGATTGCCAGAGTTCCTTTCAGCCTCTACTATGGATAAAGTTATCAGAGGGAAGAATAGCAGGAAGACCCTTTCTTATACATATAAAGCAGTAATGGCTCCTGGCACAGGACCAAAGTTTCTACACACTATCACAGAACAGTAGTATTTCAAACTACTGCCCAGATCACTTCACTCTGGTAGGAGAGTTACCCACTTAGTTGAGAGATGAATAAAAATAGGAAGAGAGTCCTGATTCTAAAGACTTCCTTTTAAAAGGTTGCTTCATTGCAATGTTAAATATGAGATCCTAATCTATAAAAAGTTGCCAACATGGTAAATCTCCTGGATGTTGTCATTCTTAAACTTTTAGAAATCCTGTAGTATTGAGCTTCTCCAGATCAATGATCATGAAGTGGCTTAAGTACTGACCTCATAAAGAAAAAGAAGTCTTATGATTTATACATTACATGCTTCAGTAAATATCTACATATATAAATATATTTCCCTCTTGGAATATATTATAAAATAAGCATGCATTTTCATATTAAAACTCAGCTCAAGAATGCAACAAGTCTCTGAGAAACTCAGTGCATTCTTGTTAATGATCCAATGTATAAATGAAAAATGCTATTACTGACCACATCAGTGCAAAACTCAGTCATCTAAGGTAGAAATGAGATAGTCATCCTGAACATAATGGAATATGCCATAGGAGGGGAGGTAGACAAATATAGAGAAACCTCCTATATTCATTTCCTGCCAAGGATATAAAAAGAAGTTATCACTAATTTCCAATAAATGTTAAAAAAATATTAGTTGAAAAGGCTATGGTTTAGCCCTGGCATTTTCCTCTCCTGTTAAATATTTATTGCTTTTGTTTGTGTTCTCCAGAACTGTATTAACCTCTTTTGTCTATGCTTTGTATCTTCATCTTGTTAAGTATTTTGTTCTTATATCTTGTGGGTTTTTTTGTTTTTGTTTTTTGTTGTTTTTTGTGCTTTTTTGTGTGTGTGGTTTTTGGGTTTTTTTGGTTTGTTTGTTTTTTGTTTTGTTTTTTGTTTTGTTTTTTTCAGCTCTTGGGTTTCATTTGGATTTTGAAGTTTTATATCTGAATTAAACTGTCATTCTTGGCCAAAGAGATTTAATTTCTCTCAAGAAATTAAAAAACTTATTTTCAGCTGGCATAAAAATTTCCACAGGCATGTATGAAAGGTAAGTTTGGCACAGGGTTTTACTACATTTCAGTCATCAGGGACAATATTTTTCACTGTCCATACTCTCTTCTATATGCTGTTTATAGAGTTCTAGATGATCATGCTTAAGATCAGACTCTCTGCTTCCTTAGTTTAGAAAATGTAAATTTGGGTAACATATGTACTAAAATGATAGCTACACATTACCTAAAGTTGAGTTATATTTCATTAATCTTAGCATACTCCAAAAAGGAATTCTACTGAATACTTACTATGGGCCTAATACTATATCTGTTTCATAAAACAGAATCAGTGGTATGCTAGAACAGGCTTTACAAACTCCTAAGTGCCAATTTTGCACATCTCTTTCCAACTCCCAGTTCAAAGACTTAATGTCAATAGTTTCAAATCTGCCATGGTAGAGAGATTTATGCCATAGATATTGACAAATGCTACAAATGCATGCTATTAAAGAGACCCAGTTGTTTAACATTTACCAACATACCAATGAACACAATCTAATTATTTGACTAAAACTTCATCATTTTTATAGTTCTGCTACTCAATTATTGTCATGTGTGGGCACTAAATATACTATAAATTAAAATGTAAAGTTGTTTAAGGAAACTAAATGTTCATGAGCCAAAAAATTGACTATCAGACCTTTACATTTGTTCTCAGATGGCAACAGGTGGTTATTTTATTCAGTAAAATAAAATATTTCCTTAAGTACAAATATTTCTCATACACAACACATTGTTAAGTCAATGAAGGTTTATTCTGTGGTAGTTTTCTGCTGGTAGTTCATAGTAATTTGTAATTTATTTATAAAGACTGCAGAAAATAGTTCTTAACTGTTATTTTCAGCTGACATAAAGATGTTAAAAATTTCCACAGGCATGTATGAAAGGTAAGTTTGGCACAGGGTTTTACTAAATTTCAGTCATTGGGGACAGGTATATTTTACTTTTCCAGTACTGAATTAATGTGAGAATTTTTAGTGTAAAATATTTCAGACATATAAAAATATACAGAGAATAATATCATGAAATTCTAAGTACCAACACTCATCCATTCCTTCTCTTCCCCCACTCATCCTTAATTTGGTGTTAATTACTATCCATCATACCCATATATCTTCACTATAAATTAGCCTTTATATTTTCTTTTATATATTTTAAAACTTTACAAATGCAATCATATTGTATCTATCCTGAAATGTGTTTCCTGTGAGATTACTGATGTTGATATGGACAGCTCTGGATCATTCATTTTAATTTCTATCTAGTATTTGATTGTATGATACGCCATGATCTTATTACCTATTCTAGTGTCCATGGTCATTCATGTTGACTACAAATGCTCTTTTTTAAAAATATATTTTATTCATTTTTTACAGAGAGGAAGAGAGAGAGGGATAGAGAGTTAGAAACATCAATGAGAGAGAAACATCGATCAGCTGCCTCTTGCACATCCCCTACTGGAGATGTGCCCGCAACCAGGGTACATATCCTTGACCAGAATCGAACCCAGGACCTTTCAGTCCACAGGCTGATGCTCTATCCATTGAGCCAAACTGGTTTCTGCTTATTTACTCTTGCAAACAATTCTGCTATAAACATTCTGGCCCATGCCTCTCTGAGCACCTGTGAGTGTTTCTCCAGGGTAAATACTTAGGAGTGAAATTGCTCAGCCATAGAGCATTCACTTCTACTTCACTTGGTATTAGCAAATTGCTCACAAAGAGCTGTGACAATTTATGCTCCCTATAGCAGTGTGGAATAATTCTTCTTGCTTCATAATCTTCCCAATACCTGATGTTTTCAGCAATATAGTGTCATATTTTTAAGCTACTAATACTCATATTTTAAAATATCAGCTTTGCAATGAATTCAATTATTTTAAAGCTAGTTGTAAATGTACAGGTACAGTCGTGTGTCCTTCTTGGGGTCAGTAAAGAGTTCATTTTAAGTTCTAATATTAAATTTCAAAATGTCCCCTGTGATTTTTTGCCTTTAAGTATTTTTATTACGGTTTAAAAATTAGAGCCCACTTAGTAATATTTTGTTTTCATTTGATTTCTCTCATAGCTTAACATATACAAGAGAACAAAATGGGCAAAGGGCCTAAATAGATACTTTCCCAAACTTGACAAGGTCAAGATTCCTATGAAAAAATTCTCAAAGTCACTACTCATCAGAGAGATGCAAATTAGAACAACAGTGAGGTATCACCTCACCTGTCAGAATGGCTATCATCAACAAATGACAAGTTCTGGTGAGGATGTGGACAAAAGGGAACCCTAGTACATTGATGGTGGGGATGCAGACTGGAGCAGCCACTGTGGAAAACCATATGATGTTTCCTCATAAAAATGGAACTGTCATTTGACCCAGTGATCCCACTTCTAGGAATATATCCTAAGAAAACATAAACACCACTTAGAAAGAATGTAGGCACCCCTATGTTCATAGCAGCACATTTTACAATAGGTAAGATTTAGAAACAGCCTAAGAGTCCATTTGCAGATGAGTGGATAAAAAAAAAACAAAAAACTGTACTACATTTACACAATGGAATACTAGATAGCTTTTAAAAAGAAAGAACTCTTATATGTATGAACCTGGAGGGTATTATATTAAGTGAAATGATCCAGTCAGAGAAAGGTATCACATGATCTCATTCATATGTGGAATCTAATGCAAAAAAATAAAATAAACTGATGAATAAAATAGATCCAAAGACAGAGCATGGAACAGACTAATGTCAGAGGGAAGGTGGAGGTGGGGGTATAGGAGAAGAGTGATTAAAACCAGGGAACTTAAATGCATATTTGCATAGCCCATGGACACAGACAATAGAGTGGTGAAGGCCTGGAAGGGGCAGGTACGGGGTGTAGGGGGTTAATGGAAAAACAAAACCACAAACACAGGGGACATCTGCAACAATACTTGCAACAATAAAGATAAATTACAAAAAGAGAACATTCACTATCGAACTAAGATAAAAACTATTATATAAGAAAATCCTCAGCACATCTATCTCTCATGCTTCAAATCTTTCTGACTTCCTCTCTTGCTCCATTATGTTTTAATTTATTCTTCAGCCTGTTTGTATTAGTTGGTTGTTTTCATAATTGAGTTAGTGAGTCTATCTCACAAATACTTAAATAAAATGTACATTTGAAATGGTTTACATTTTTTGTTTAGCTTAAGGAATACATCCTCACAAAGTTCACCTTCATTGGCCCTTCTCAATATAACATTATATTGTGTTGAAACTGCCTCCTCAGAATTTGACAGGCTAATTTGTACATGTGAAAATGAGGTTATCAACAAATATTAAGTAGACCCTCACCAAGTGAAAGGTAAAACTTGAATATGTCATCAGTCTTACTATGGAAAATATATGTATTTTTGAACAAAAAAGGAATTACATTTTTTAAAGTGCACATAATTTTATTAATTTCCTTTTGTACAATATAAAGGGTTCAGGTTTTGTCTTTAATACTGTTTTGTACCCAAGCATTTTGCTGTGCTTGGGGAGGCCCCATAAAACTAATTGCAAACTGTCTATTCCAAACCAATGTAGGGAAGGGTACTGAAATGTAATAAAGTGATTTCTTTTGACAATTAAATGCTTGAGACATGATTCATTAAGCACACTACAATCTACTGCCCCTATGGGAAGCAGATTCCTATGGTATAGTATATTAATAAGCACTATTATACTTAATTGCAAGCATTTATTGAATTATGGAGGCTTTTGTTAATGTTATAATGCAGTCTTAATAACTGTAAATTTTAATTTTTGCACAAAAATATGACTGCTTTAGGTTCATGGCATGTTTAGGACTTTTAACATGAGATGAACTACCAATAGAAATTTTAGTTACTACTTTAGGAACAGCTTTTTGTCCAGTACAATTAAATTTTCTTGAATATTCACTTATTTCAATTAGCCTATTTAAATTAATCTAAAAACTTGATTACTATTTTACTTTCAAATTTAATACTCTACCAACAATCTAATTTTACCCTGTAAATATTAGTGGACATTGAAATGGTGAATCAGAACTGTTGGACATTGAAATTGTGACTCAAACATTTTTTTTATTATATGATTATTTCTAGTCAGCAGAGGCAATATTTTTTTAAAGGAAAAATAGATACAGAGGCAAAGAAGCATTGAACAGACTGCCAAACTACAGCAGGAAGGCAAGAGAGGTTTTAGCGGGGGCTAAGAGATCAACCGAAGGACTTATATGCATGCACATAAACATAACCAATGGCTACAAGACACTGAGGGGGCAGGTGAGGGCATGAACTGGGGACTGGGGGGTAGGAGAGGCCAGGGGGAGGTCAATGGGGGGGGGGAAAGAGACATATGTACTACTATTTATAATACTACAAACAATAAAAAAATACAAAAAAATAATAAGCATCTTTCAGAGAAATTGTGAAACTGAATTGTTTTCTGACTAAACTCAAAACAAAATCATTGACCTAATTTCTCTTCAAGTGGAGTATTTATTATACACCCTTAGACTTTCAGAAATACACTCTGAAATTTTCTCTTTTCATAGCACAGATGTCAGAATGGTTTTTATAATAACTCTGTTCTATATTGTGAAATTCATGCATAATTTTTGGTAAAATGTCAACAATACATTACTTCTCAGCCAACATAGGAATAAAAAACTTAAACAGATTTTAATTTTCAAGGTGTTCTTTGGAGATGGGTTAACATTGATTAATTCACTGACTGTGTTTCCTTGAAAGAGCTCAAAATAAATTTAAAGACAAAAAACAAACAAACCTGACCCTGTGATGGGATGCCCATTAAGACATTTGAAGCAAACTCAGTTTTTAAATAATGGAAGAGTCAACCAAACCAATTTGTTAGATTTTTGTCTTCTAACAAATATTAACACACAAGTTCTGGAACTGAATTAAGTCTGGCAAACTTAGCTATAAGAAGCCTTAACAAGCAAAGGCTCAGAAAACAACTGCAGGTATCTAGATGTTTTCCAGGTTTCCTTGGACTCGATTATATGGAAAATTTTTCCAGTGTGTGGAAATATCCATTCATAAATATGGCTATCTAACCCCAGAAACCTCATTTATTGTTATCCTAGACTTGGGTGGAGAAACTTTTTGAGCAGAATATTTTACTCTAGTTCTAGTCAGATATCTCTATTTATCTCTATCTCTCTGTATCTCTGTCTGTCTCAAAGAATTCTCTAATTAGGCTAAAGGTTAACTCAAAATACTTATGGTGCCTTTAAAGTATCCCTAGTAATTTAAAGGGAAAAGGTTTCAATATATAATTAATATTATACTAAGATGGATATTTTTAATGTGGAATTAGTGCTATTACATTTACATTGTTAAGTACATTTACAATGTAATTAAATTTGAAGACTTAAAGGGAAATCACTGCCTTTTTACAGTAGCACCTTTATAGCCCAATATAATAAACACAGTGCAGTTACATTTAAAACTTAGCATTCATTGTACAGTGATTAAAATATTAAAAGGTTATAACTGTATGTTTGAATCTATAGCATTTTGTATTGTCTTAAATGATTAAAATCCCTAGTTTAATACCAAGAAATTAAAATATTTTGTGCAGAAAAGCATCGTGATTCAAAAACTTTATTTGCTAATTCTGTTTTCTAACCACAGGATCAGTACACAGAAGAAATAGATTTTAATTTCATTTGTTGTTATTTTTCAGAAGCATTGAGTGAAATATCCAGTATATGGCCATTTTCATGAATGAGTTATAAATCAACCATCATAAACTCCAGCAAGTATACATTAAAAGATTTATAATTTCCAGGTACCTTTGAATAAAATACAACTGGTTATAGAAATTGTTACATCAAATGGTACTACTGGCATAAACTATAATCTTGATATAACACACAAGCCTATTTAAAAGATCAAGTACTTATGTATTATATAGTTATTGAATTTGTTTATTGTAACACATTTCATCAAAAAATGTGCACCTTTTTTTCATCAAAAAATATGCCAACTTGATAGTAAAACATACAATCCATGATTCAAAAGGCAGCAATTTCAAACCATTGTCTTCAGTGGTTCTTGTCATAAAATATTCCAAGCATAAATTCAACATTGCATGCAAAACTAGCCCTGTGCTTTAAAACAAGTCATCACACTGTTTACATATGTAAAAGAAAGACAACTATACATGTATCATTTTCAAAAAATCCTAAGACAAAATATAACTAAAGAAAAATTTTACTAGAACAGATTTTTTCCAGAAAATTCAAAAGCAAGTAAAGACACTGGAAAGTAGAACTTTGTTACAGGAACACCTCGTGTACATATATGAATATTTAACTTAAAGCTGTAACATGAGTGTCTAAATTGCAATGCATAAAAATGTAAACTTTAACACATTCTAACCATAGGATTTTTAGCTTTGGATCTTTTTGAAACTATAAGACAACTCTAGAAACCCTCAATACCAGTCAAAGTGCGAAAGAGGTCCTTCAGAACATATCCCTTTGGTATATTATAGTAGCATAGATAACAAAATTAAATACTAAAACTATTAGTCAACGAAGTAGGTGAAAATCTCTGATTATCTCTCCTCCTCTTTGGATTTTTGTTTTATTCCTGAAAAGTTACAAACAAAATTACAGG